GCAAGAACGCTCATTTGTACGTCATTCTAGAGAGAAATAAATGACCTTTTTAGAAAGTGAACCATCGATAAGGAAATGTTGGTAGTTTTTTCAAAAAATGCTTGAATTCAAGAACTTTTAGATTTGCGTGATTTTTTTTTGAGTTGCAAAATCCGCTTGAACATAACGCTGCTTTTTTCGAAGTTTCTCAAGAACCATTCGAGCCACAGAATTCGTTTTGGCATCATTGGATAGAGAATTGAATGGGGGGGTCATAAACCCCATGACCCCCCCCTGGATCCGCCCTTGGGTTGGTCGCCAACATTCAACACTTACGAACCTCGTTTGCATAACTCCAAACCAGCAAGGAATATCAACACCTAATGTTATCCTAACACTATCAATAAGCGTAATATTTGTTCGATTACAAATTAGAACGTGGGTGCGACTTTTGGTTTATCTACAAGCGACATTGCCTATGGCCGGATGCATTGTTCTGGTCCGATAATAAGGTCACGAGGTTTGGCATTGAATCCGCAATAAAAGGTTTAAATATATTTAACACCGTTCCGAGAAGCCCTTTCTCTTCTCCGAACAGATACACTTTATTGCTAGTTGGAAAAATGCAGCGTTTCCTCAGTTCTGCACCAGAACGGCTGAAGAATCAAAAAGAAATGACGCAGAAACGCACCGAAATGAACGGGTGTCTAAATGCACTTAATTAGCCAGTGGGTTGTGAAAAACATCACTTTATGCCCACCTATAAGCGAATAGCGATTGCCAATAAATCTCATCACTTACGAGACGTTTCTAGTGATTGTCAACGAGGCAACATTACTTTCATTTAATGACTTCATCCAAAGTGTCCATCGTTAATTGAACTCTGTTTGGGCAGTGAAGAGTTTAACTTGAAGGCAATTTGATGCTCATGGAGGATGTCGAACCGGCAAACGTGGGAATCTTGAAGATGGATCGGGGCTCTTTGAATTGAAACCGCGCGTTTCGCCTCGATGATCTCCAGCACATAAAAATGGCCTAACTTAATAAAATGTATTGTCATCCACGTACAACACGACGGTTTGTTGGCCTCGATTGCCCGTTTCATTTTAGATGAAATATCACATCGACAGTAATTGGATAAAAGCGATCTAGAACAGTGCAAAAACTGGCTTTTTAAATTAAATTTCTCTTGAGGTTGGCAACTTTTTTAAAACGACAGCAGTATCCAAAAAATCCAGCAAATGGCTGGTTTGATGAGTCCTTATCACGCGATACACAAACACTCACAACACCCTCAAAAAATACTCACATGCTGAGCAACAGAGCAAACATAGTGCCAATCAAATGGCGATCGCTTGGAGACTTACATTGCGCTCAACCAGACGAGATTATTGGGTTCCGGTGGTTAATTTTGCGATTATCGTGCTAAATCGGTATTAGATTAAGAACGCTCCTGCATTTGACCACAACTAGCATCTGAAACCTTCACCAATCAATATAAACATCAAGGTTGAGGTGAAACTGTTTGCTCCAACTTGCTAAAATTTAAATTAGAAACTACCTACTTCCGTACCAAGTTCCTGCTTTCGTACCAGAGCCAGCCAGTGGCATTTAGCTCTAATTGGATGATTCGGATATTATTCGTTCAATCAAAGAACAATTGTGAACGATTTCATAATGCTGAAAGCGAATCTTTTGCCATTTGAACTGAAGTCGAGGCCCTTCACGTGGCATTTTGTTGCAAAAGTGTTGAATTCCAGAGTAGAAGGTCAATTCTTAGAACCAAATCGACTGTAGAGAAGTCTGGGTCTTGGAAGACTTTCTACAAGACCCAACCGCCAGACAGAAGAGAAGTTTTCGAATATTCACTCTTTTGGCAAATTCCAAATGTATTTAAAGACCTAAAGCGCATTTTCTGGAAAAATCCACTTTTTAAGTGAAATTTTCTGCCTGACTTGGGTAATACTGCTGGGATTTACCGAATTAAAACCTCGTTGAAAAGCGTAAAATTTTCCATAAAAGCCACCAATTTTCAAATTGAAGTCGGTTGAAAAGCCAAAGTTTGAAGTAGAGTAGACGAGTTTTCAAAGAGAAACCTATGAAATCTTCACTCTTTAAACAAAATGCTCTTTTTGGGAAAACTCAGCTGTTTTTAATCGAGAATCTTCTCTTAACTGTTAATATTGGCGCGCTTTGGAAAATTGGTTAGAAAGCGTGCGATTTTTCAATCAGAAACGTTTGGAATCTTCACTCTTTAGACAAATTATTCTAATTGCATGTAAGGGCCGAAAACGCATTGTTTGGGAAAATCCACTTTTGCTGAAGTGAAACTTTTCGCATAATTTGGATAATATTGGCGTGACCTGGAAAACGCAAACAAGAGCCTCTTTGTGCACTTAAAATCAGTTTCTTTGGAAAAATTCACTATGAAGTGAAAATTTTTGCATAACTCGTTTAAAACTGGCGCTATTTCCAAAGTTAAAGCTTTCTTAGAAGGCGTTAGAAGCTTATATATATATTTATTCTAAAATT